CTTTTGCAGAGGTTTCACGGAGACAGGTACTTTACGTCCCTAGACCTGAGTTCAGCTTATTTACAGATAGAGCTACATGAAGACTCTAGAAAATACACGGCCTTTATGTCCGAATCCACCATGTATCAGTACAAAAGAGTTCCATATGGGTTCAGAAATTCATTACCCGCATTCGTACGTGCCATAAAGGTAATGCTGGGAACGGATCTGGAGAACGTGGTATCCTACGTTGACATCTTGATACATTCCCGTACCATGAAAGATCACCTAAGACATCTTGATACCGTACTCGGTAAATTAACGAAGGCAGGCTTCACGATCAACGCCAAAAAGTGTCGCTTCTGCAAAGACGAGGTTAGGTTTTTGGGACACCGTATAGATAGGACCGGTGTATCCGCTGACCCGGATAGGGTACAGTCCATCCTCAACTATCCAGCACCGAGAAACAGTAAACAGCTGAGGCAATTTCTCAGAACCTGTAATTTTCATAGCAGATTCATCATAAGCTATGCAAATTACGTCGCACCGCTAACGCCTCTATTGAAGCAAGGTGTGAAGTGGACGTGGTCAGATGAAGCACGGGATGCATTCCTGCGCCTGCGGCAGAGTTTTGCGCGCAGCATTCACCTGGTCCATCCACGTGACGACGCACTGTATGCAATTTACACTGACGCCAGCAAGCTGGGGATAAGTTCGATACTAACCCAGGAAAACGACTCAGGTGATACTTCGATAGTGTCCACTGCCTCCAGAGTGTTGAGTCCCGTAGAACGGAGGTACTCCACCTGTGAACAGGAGCTGCTTGCGGAAGTCTGTGCGCTTCAGAAGTTCAGAATATATGTGATAGGTCACTCCATCACTGTATATTCCGATAATAAAGCATTATCGTTTCTGAAGCGGTGTAATTTGACATCTAGCCGAGTCACACGCTGGGTAATGCAGCTGCAGGAGTACGATTTGAAGATTGTACACATTAAAGGCAGCGATAACTTCTTTGTAGACATGCTGAGCGCAACCCCATTGGGTTAAGCCAAGAGAGCCGCGACCAAGTGTTGAAGCCTAAAGAGTTATTCGTGGCAAAGGTAGTCCTGGGAACTGACAGAACACTCATGAAAGAATTAGGCAATCTGTCAGAACACCAACTCGGTGATCCCACTTTAAAGAAAATACGGGAAGAACTGGAGAGCGACCCAGAGAAATTTTCGGGCAGGTACATGGTAAGAGATAAGATCCTGTTCTGCAAAAATGACAGGAGCCATCCCTATTGGAGGATTATGTTACCCAGACAGCTAGAAGACCGAGTGATTCGGTATGCACATACTTTATTGGGACATCAAGGCACCGATAAATGTATGTTGCAAATAGCACACGCTTTCCACCTAAAGTCATTAGGAAGAAAGGTGCGGAAGTTTGTGGCACACTGTGACATTTGTCAACGTGTGAAGCATCCCAATAGGTCCTATGAGATTGAAAGAGTATCTCATCTCCCCACCAGGCCAGGAGAGCTATTAATGATAGACCTCTATGGACCTCTACCTACAGGTCGTGGTGGAGTGAAATACCTGTTGGTATGTCTGGAATTCTTCTCCAAACATGTAACTCTGTACCCACTAAAGGCAGCCACCACTAGGAGCTGTTTAAGGAAGCTCAGGGAGCACTATTTCCAAAGTGTTATCAAACCTGAGGCCATTTTGTCTGACCACAGATCGCAATTTGCGAGTCCTGCATGGCGGAAAGCACTGACCGATTTGGGCATTCAGTGCAGATACTCTCCTATTCGACACCCGGAAAGTAATCCGACTGAGCGGATTATGCGCGAACTTGGAAAATACTTTCGAATCTACTGTCACGAGACGCACAAACAATGGCCAGAACTTGTGCCATATATAGAGAACTGGTTGAATTCTTCTGTTAGCCAGTCTACAGGTTATACTCCTGTAGAACTGCTCGATGGAAATCCGAGGCCGGATATCTTCCGAAAGATACTGAAAAAGAGTGCAGACCAGTTACCCCGGGAAGATGTCTTATCTGACAAAATTCTAAAAGCCTATGCTCAGATGAAACTAAGATCAGATCGGCAAAACAAACGACGAAAAACTAGCAAGACTAACTGGCAGCCTAGTCTTCAGGTGCTAGTGCTAGTAAAGTGCCAGCCTGTATCAGATGCAGTGCAGGGCCTTACTTCTAAATTTCAAAGACCGTTTGGGGGACCATTCATCGTTCATCGAAGAGTAAACCCCTCCATCTTCGAACTGGCAGATTCAAAAGGCAGGATTAGGGGGCTCTTCAACCTAAAGCATCTGAAACCCTACCTCGAGGAAAACCTCGAATCCTAGACTCCACAGACAGGACTGAAAGCGGATTCTCGGAAAAAAAGAGAAAAGTCGTTGAAATTTCGAAATTTTCTAAATTATATCTACTACTATTGAGAAATTCCAAATGAAGTGCATGGGTGGATTGCAGCCGACCAACCCTTTCAGAAATTTTAATCCACGAAGGGCACTAATTGATTCCAAGGAGGGTAACCCAACAAGAGAGACAGAGAGCGATTGTAGGAGAAACTTGTAGCAAAGCAACCATTGTGCAGTGAGGGTGAGAGAGAGTTCATTGTTTACATTAGGTTTAAAGGGCTAGTTGCAGATGGATTCAGAAGGGTCAGTCACTGAAGGAAAGTGAGAAAAGATAGTGTCTGAGAGAGACAGAGAGTAGACCAAACATTTTTAAACGCAACCAGTCTAGGCAACCCCAGCGAATTCGATGTTACGAGTGAAGTGCAGTGTTGGTGAACCATAAAACCCCCCTCCGGAAAAAGTGAAATTTTCTTGACGCAAGTGAATGGTCAGAGAATGAAGGACACGGAGAGACAGAAAAAAAAATGTTATGTGACAGTTTAATTTTGTAAGTGTTGTTATAGTCCATAAGTAAGAAACTAGAATAAGATTTAGCAAGGAAAGGAACAGGATGAGGGCAAGTGTTAAAACCCTCAAACCTTGGTAATTTGTGTATGTATCCATGGAATTGAGTGGTGAGGAATGAGCGGCAACCAAACGAGACTTGGGTCCGAAATCGATTCTCGATTCAGACCAACCCTCGCTTGGGGAGTGTAACCGAACCATTGAAATCCTCCCCCCCCTCTTTTTATTTCAGTAGTTTATAAAGTAGACAGTAAGAATTACTAAGAAGCATAGGTTAAGAGACTGTCAGAACAAGCAGATAGACCGAACTTGCGTGGACAAGGACATCTGTTAGTCCTTGCGTCCAAGCATCTGGTGTTGCTTCGAAAAGGGCAGAAATGATACTTCAAGGAACCCCACTGAGTTTCTTTAGAAATTGAGAAGTTGACTTAGGCGGCAAGCCACTTTGAGAATTCGAGCAGTGGCAGTCGCAACGAGCCGTTAGTCAAAAGTGG